TATAATATATACTATAATATAATTTTTCCCCCGGTGAGATTTTAAAATACATAACTATTGTTAAATAATACTTTCTGAATTTTCCTCAAACAAGATTACAGTTCTCTCCTAGTAATCAACTCTTTTCTTATTCTTTCTCTTTCTCTCTCTCTCTCTCTCTCTCTCTCTCTCTCTTACCTTCATTCATTCATCCTATTTCTGTTCTACTTCCTCGTTCTGAATATAATTCGCAATCAAAAGGAAAAAAAAAAAAGAAAAGAAAAAGGAAACAAAAGTGTAACAAGTTATATCTCGAAGATATTCTTATTTGAATTCACATGAACGAACGAACGAATCGAATAAACTTTCGTAAAAGTATTAAAAACTGATTAGAAGAAAAAGAAATAAAGAAGAATAAGAAAAAAGAAAAAGAAATTAAAATTAATAGCATATCGCAAATGCTATACGTTTTTCAAAATTATCTATCGTATAATAGACGAGACAAAAAATTTATAGGAAATTAAAAATGTGTACAAAATTTGATATCAATAAAAAAGAATTTAAACGAAAATATGAGAGAAGAAATAATAAATCGAAAAGAAATGTTTAATGTTACCAGAAAACACCAAGTATATGATCGGAGTACCGTCCTCTTCGAAATTCACCCTCAGACTGACACGTTGTCATCTATCAAAATAATGTTATTAATTGTTGTATATATGACTTTTCTAATGTTACACATGTGTATAATGATTATAATATTCCTTATAAAGAGAATTTAAGGGGACCTTCTACTCTGAGCACCTAAAAAAAAGGCTATTTTCGCGAATTTTTTTCAAGAAAACTATAAAAGATATCGATCTAAAAGTTGTTGGGTTTGTTAAATTGAGTCTTAAACTATATAAGTGAATTTTTATTTTTTCATTTTAATTAATTTTTTATTGCAAAAACAGTAGTATAAAAAAACACCTTAAAACTTTAGTGCTTTGGTAGCTCCATCAGAACTTGAGAATGGCTTACCTGAAACATAAAAGTAAAATGGTTTTATATTCTGTATGACTTCAGCTACAAAGTGACAGTTTTATATAAAAATTTTATCAATAAATAAAAAAATGGTGGACAAATTACAAAAAAAAACATAAATTTGACCTTTTT